GCCTGAGGCTGTTAGGAATTGTGGGAGTTGAAGTCCAAAACACCTGAAGGGTCTAAGTTTGCCCATGCCTGCTTTGGAGGCAAACCATAATAAGCCATGGGGTTGAGTTGGACAGCCCTGCCATGCACAAATCCTATTGCGAATGCATTGGGCCAGCTGTATTTACCTATAGTTCAACTCAGCACTCCACAATTGTTGTTGTGGGTCTACCCTGCACAGCTCCACCCACTGCATGTATTTTGGTGGAAAGAGATTAGAGCACCGGTGTCCAACCCCAGGTGGTTGGGACTCTGACTCCCAGCAGCCTGGGCAGCTTGGCCAATGGTCAGGAATGATGGGAGCTGAAGTCCTAAATGCATAGAGGACCACAGGTTGGACACCACTGGATCAATCTGTGTCCCAGAAAATGACAACATGAACTTCCTTACTGTGAGAACTGTTCAGCAGTGGAACTATCTACCCCCAGATTGTGGTGGAGACTCCTTCTTTGGAGGCTTTTAAACAGAGGCTGGATGGCCATCTGTCAGGGGTACTTTGAATGTGATTTTCCTGCTTCTTGACAGGGGTTTGGATTGGATGGCCCACAAGGTCTCTTCCAACTCTATGATTCTATGTATGTGTTTCCAAGAGGGTGCTGAGGGAATCCCTTCTTGGCTTCTCTTTTGGAGACTCTACTCCTCATAATTCCTGGATAAATCCAAAGGGCATTTCCTCCTTAAAGGAAACTCATCACCCTCTCGGCCTGTGAGCAGACCCCCCTGAAACATATCTCCTTGCTCTTGGCTCTTTATTACCTTTCAATGACTTAAGCCCCCGCTTGCACCCTGTGCCAAATAACTTCATCAAGGTGTCAAGCTAAACAGATTTCCCTCCTGCTCTAATGGCCCGACTTGAGCAGGCCCTTAATGAAAAATATTGATTGCAGAGGATTAGTTGCAGATTTATGAGGTGGGCGCTGATCCCTTTGTCGCCTGATGCCTTCTATTGGGGCACTGATCCCAGCCTCCTGCACATTTTTAAGAAAGCAAACATGGGATTGCAGCGAGAGAGGCTTCGCATGCATTTTGGGGGGTTCAGGGGAGCCTCAGAGCATTGAAAAATCCATGAAAACCAAGACTTTGGATCCATCTGCAGCCCAGAAGGCAGAGCCACCCCCCCCCCCCAATTGCTCAACGATTGTGTCACGCTCCCCATGAGCTGGCAGAGCCCTTTCTGAGGCCTTAATTACCCATTCACTTAAAAATGCCGAGAAAGGCTTTGCGTTACATTTCACAGCCAGGGAGGAAAAGGCACCTCCCCAGCAATGGAGAAAATTGCAGCCAAAACAGAGAGAGAACAAGGGATCCTGCTGCAATAATGGATTCTCAGACCTTTGCTTTTATTATTAGCTGCCTCCAGCTGTTGGCTTTTTTTTTGCCTCCAGTCCAAGCTTTGGGACAGCTTTTCAAGGAGCTCAGGATGAGGTTCAGCACCCCAAAAGAGCTTCTTGAAATGTTGGGTCACGTCCTGGATTTGTGGCCCCATTGATAGAGGGTCCGGCGGCCATCATTTGCACAGAGACTTCAGGTAATGTGCGGCTCAAATGGCCAAGCGTGAACTTCAAACTGCATACCCAGGACCATGAAAATGTTGCTAAATCCCTCAGTAATCACAATCGAAAAGCCAGCGTTCCCACTCCGGGAGTGGATGAGGCAATTTCTATGGGCAGGGAAGCAGAAAAAAGAGACCGAAGTCTGTAAGAGAAAGACTGGAAAGGAAAGACCTCTCCCCACTTTGCTGGGCTCCCTTTGGCAGGCCTATAGGGAGTCCAGTCACAAAGCAATTTTTGGCAGAAATAATGGCAATGAGGGAACGAGGCCACGTGGTCACGGCCTTGGAGTCCTGTGCCCTGTAATCACCACAAGGCCAGAAAGTCACCTCCCCGGTGCCACACTTGAAATTTTGGTGGTCCTAGGAGGAGGCTGGCAAAAGCAAGCAAGCAAGCTTGGTGCCTTCCTTCTGAACAGAGTTGGAGGAGGAAAAGATGAATCCGTCGCACTTTGCCGTAGCACTTTGAAGACGCGAAGAGATGGGTGCTAATTATTCCTAATTGAGTTCCTGGAACTTGGGCCAGTTTCAGATTGAACCTCATTAACATCCTCTCCTGATAAAATGTGATTAAGGCTTCCCGTAGCGAGAGGCAGGCAAGGCGACACAGATTGCCCATAGAAATGTAGTTGTTGGCCACCTCCAAAGCTCAAGGAGGATCCATTACAGGTCCTACAAAGCTCATTGAGGCTCCATTCTGACCCACGAAGAAGGCAAGGCCTCCTCAGAAACACATCCGCTGCTTATAACGTCACTTAAAGTCTCTCTCTCTCCCCCTTTTCCTTTTCTTGGCTCGTTCTGCTCGGTTCTTATCTCCCCATCTGTTATTCCTCCTTCAGAAGAGAAGACACAGAGAGTCCCTTTCACTCCCCAAAGGCCAATATGGCACCCTTGCCTTTAACCACATTTCAGACTATATTTTCCACCTCTTTGAGGGGTGGGGAAATCAAGATAGCCAGAGACCCCTTTTGTATTTGAGGATATAGTGTTGCTGCCTTGTCCCTGCAACTCTTATGTTTTAGCATCCATGAGTCACTTACTTAGCTCCCTAAAATCCAGGGAATGGCTATGGGACCTTGGCTACTGAGAGGTATTTGTGGGTTTAAACCTAAAAGAATCCCTCTTAATGGTACATATGGCTCTTGCTTCAGACTTGTTTAATCCAGGACTGGTTCTTTCAAGCTCCTTAAGACATAGAGGCTACCTCTGGCCTCCTTCTAGAAAAGCGGATTGGAAAGGCAGTTTTGCAGGGCCATCAGCCCCAGAATTTCTCACTCAAGATGACCATATCTGAAATCCCAAAAGGCAATTCTCTGGAAGAAGATGAGACAGCTGTAGATGCTCAAAGGCTTGACATCCGTCAGAGAGACTGCACAGCCCTTCATCCACTGCAGCTGGTCCAGGTGGATGAGGCCTTTCCCTGCTGCCCAGCACGTCTTTCCTTTTCATAGCATCCTAGAGTTGAAAGGGACCCCAAAGAGGGCCATCCAGTCCAGCTCCCTTCTGTTATGCAGGAAAAGCACACCCCCGACAGATGGTCATACAGCCTCTGGATTGTTTGGACAGGTCTCCTCCCCCTCTTCTTCTCTTCAGGTCTCCTTCCACATGTATGGGGCTGTGCCCTGCCCACCCAGCAAGGAAAATCTTTGCCTTTCCCTCAGCAAAGGACATTTGATCTGGGCCATAAAAGCCCTTCGCAGAAAGTGGAGGCGACACTCTCTGGCACTCTCTCCCCAGACTCAGAGGTGCTTGATTGGTCTTCAAGCTGGGTCTGTGTGGTCCAAGGTTTGCAAACTGAGCTGTGCTTGTGGTGCAGTTGCCTATTGTGCAGGCAGGATCGTTGTGCACTGTCCAGAGGTGAACACCACTGTTTGGCTGCATATTTGGTGACATACAAAACCCTCAGTCAGCTCAAGGGTCGAATGAAACCTGAATGTGGACCCTCCATTATTGACACATACTGTATTTACTCACATCTAATGCTCACTGTTTTGGTCTAAATGACCTCTCCAAACTTATTGGTTGCATGTTAGATTTGTCATACAATCATCTTAGTGCTGAGCCAAAACCAAAGGGAAAGCTGTTTCAGAAGCTGCACCAGGAGCCTCTGTTTGAGGGACAGCATAGCAAGGAGGGAACAAGCTTATTTTCTGCTACCCTGGAGACTAGGATGCTTCAAACTACAGGAAAGGAGATTCCAGCTGAACATTAAGAAGAATTTCCTCATTGTGTGAGAGAGAGCTGTTCAGCAGTGGAACTCTCTGCTGTGGAGTAGCTCCTTTGGAAGCTTTTAAACAGAGGCTGAATGGCCATCTGTTGGGTGTGCTTTGGATGTGATTTTCCTGCTTCTTGGCAAAATGGGGTTGGACTAGATGGCCCGCAAGGTCTCTTTCAACTGTATGGTTCTATGACATCATCTCTCATTTAATTGCCTTGACATAATGCTATGCAATCCTGGGATTTGTAGTTTGGTGAGGCATCAAGAGAAGGATCAAGGCCTTACCAAACGACAGCCCCCAAAATTCCATAGCATTGAACAAAGGCAGTTAAAGTCGATTCACTCTACCACATAAATGCACCCCAATGTCTTCCTTTCCATTGCTGGAAGCTTTGGTGTTCTACCAGGTTTGTTTTTAAAGGAGGAATTCTAAGCAGGCAACAACTGCAATGGGCATGTTACAAAGAGTGCATCTTTTGCCACTGTGCATTACATTCGCCAGCATATACTTCTTTTGGGTTCAGGGTTTTGGAAAATGAGGTGTGTGTTAGATTCGATGGCGCATTAGACTCGAGGCTCCTGCTCTTCCTTCCTCCCCTGAAGAAACACTTAGTTGTTCCTCCAAGCAGCAGCAGGGTTGTTCTTTCCTCCTCCTTCAGGCGTCTTCGCTGCCAGGGAGCCTGGCATACTTTGCCACGTCGCCCACGGAGCCATGTCTCTGACTGGGACCAGACATGTTTGCCTTTTTGCCCAAAGACTAAACCAGAAGGAGCAGCCTTGCAGGAGTCCTACACAAACCATATGCATATAGGGCAGGCATGGGCAAAGTTTGGTCCTCCGGGTGTTTTGGACTTCAACTCCCACAATTCCTGGCCTCAGGCCCCTTCCTTTTCCCCCTCAGCCGCTTAAGCGGGCCTGAGGCCAGGAATTGTGGGAGTTGAAGTCCAAAACACCCGGAGGACCAAACTTTGCCCATGCCTATATAGGACGTTAAACCTCCTTCTGCATCTCAGTTCTTTCCATTAGAGAAAACAACAAAAACAGTCAGGCAGAGATTTCTATCCCTGCAACAGTTGCTTCTCCTTGAACGAAATGCAATGCAATCCAGTCTTGCTTTGCCCCGCCGCCTGAACTTTTGGATTGCTGTTTGGGAGCTGATGCAATCTCCACAATGAGGAGGAATGGCAAGCCGTACCTCAGAGCCGTCATGAATATACAGTGGTGCCCTTTGGCCTTTGCAATGCACTTGCGGTCTCTGAGCATTTTATGAGCGACGTCTTCCGCGTCCTCCCGGATCATTCTGTGACCACAGACGCAGGGGCCATTCCGATTTCATTGTCTGAAGGCCGGGTTCACCCAAGAATAGACATTTATCGCCCCCTCTTCTTTTAAAACCCATCGCAGGATGTTCCTGCTGCAAAAAGACACCTTGCAAAGTCCTTTGACGGGATGGAGCCATCTTTAAAGATGTGCAGGGTGGCCACGGGGAAGCTGTTCGCATGGCAAGATCTCCAGCTAAACCTTGGAAAGAACGTTTTCATGGCCAAAGGCTTCCCCAGAAAATGAACTCCCCTTCCTTTGGGGGTCGGGTGGGCATCTGGTAGGAATGCTTTGCTTGTGTATTGCTACATGGCAGGGGGAGAGGTGCTTCTAATAAAAAAGAGCACAGAATTAGAAGGTATCGCCTGGTGAATTGAACATGTCTCTCGGTATGGAAAGCCCTTCTTCATCTAGTTTTTTTTTTTTGCCATGTCAGGAGTGACTCCTGTTGTGAGAGAATTGGCCGTCTGCAAGGACGTTGCCCAGGGAACACCTGGATGATTTGATGTTTTTATCATCCTTGTGGGAGGCTTCTCTCATGTCCCCGCATGAGGAGCTGGAGCTGATAGAGGGAGCTCATCCGCCTCTCCCCAGACTCAAACCTGCGACCTGTCGGTCTTCAGTCCTACCGGCACAGGGGTTTAACCCACTGCACCACCGGGGGCTCCTCTTCATCTAGTGAAAGCTTCTTTTGAAGAGGATTCAAAGAATAATCAAATCCTAGAATCCTAGGGTTGGAAGAGATCCCCAGGGGCCATCCAGTCTTCCAGGCAGGAACAGCACAATCCGATCCCTCTTAACAGATGGCCATCCAGCCTCTGAGACATTAGTGGGTTCATGGAGAAATAGGGCTCTAGAATAATAATATTCTAGCATTGGAAGGGACCCCAAAGGCCATCCAGTCCAATATTTTTTTTGTCAAAGCCTTCCTGACAGATAGCCATCCATACTTGAAGACATTAGCGGGTTCATTGAGAAATAGAGCTCAGGAATCATAATATCCTATAGTTGGAAGGGACCCCAAAGGCAATCCAGTCCAACCCTATCTTCAAGGAAGGACACGTCAAAGCCCTCCTGACAGATAAACAACCAGCCTCGGAGAAATTAGCGGGTTCGTGGAGAAATAGGGCTCTAGAATAATAATATCCTATAGTTGGAGGGGACTCCAAAGGCTATCCAGTCCAACCCCTTCTTCCAGGAAGGACACATCTGTCGCAGCTATGGTGTTGCTGCTTTATAGCTGGAGTTGTATTCAAACATTCAAACCACCTTCTTGGAAGCTGCGCCCCGTTGAGAAAATAATGCAATCCACAGGAGACAAACTTTCTTCAAATAAAGTAAATGTTTATGCCATAGTAACAAATAACAGTTTCAATCCATCCCAATACTCCAGCAAACCTTCCTTGAGCTTTTACAGGAATCTATTCCTCTTCCTCTAGCTCTTTACAGTCTCACCAACAGCATTCTCTGCTCATGCTCTTCTCTTTCTCTCTCTCTACTCTCTACATTCTCAGTCTCTTAATTTGTAGTAGCTAAACTCTCACAGGTGCTGGTCATACAATGACTGGACATGATTCCTGCAACCACTTATCCATTTTTCACTTAAGAAATGATCTACATAACATAAAACTCTGACAACATCAAAGCCCTTCTGACATATAAACATCCAGCCTCAGAGACATTAGCGGGTTCATGGAGAAATAGACTCTAGAATCATAATATCCTATAGTTGGAAGGGATCCCAAAGGCTATCCAGTCCAACCCCATCTTCCAAGAAGTACACCATCAAAGCCCCCCTGACAGATGGCCATCCAGCCTCTGCTTAAAATCCTCCAAAGAAGGCATATCCATTAGACTCCAGGGCACTGTTGAAGTTCTTCTTAAAGTTTAAGTGGAGTCTCCTTCCCTGTAATTTGAACCCATGTCTCCAATGAGTCCTAGTCTCCAGGGCAGTAGAAAGGAAGCCTGTGCTCTCTTCCTTGTGACATCCTTTCAAATATTTAAGCACATGTTTCTTCTATGCATGGGGCCCAAGGAGAGAGGGCTGTGGGCCCAGGGAGGTTACTAGGATGCTTGTGTTGGTAGCCCACCTTCCACATTGCGCCATTCTCTCTCTCTTTCTTCCTTCTTCGCTTTTTCCTTCCTCAAGGCATGTCAGGTCGGAGTGAGCCACTTGTCCTCCTTTGGCCGTGATTAAAGAATGATTTTTGCTCAGCATGGAGCTCTGCCCATTGCCTTGTTGCTATCCATCTTGCAAATGAGCCTCTCCTCCAAAGAGGTAACGAAATCACAGCTATGGCCAGGGCTGCCAGTGACCTGCTGGCTGGACAGTGTCCCCTCATTTCAGTGGAGCCCCACAATCACTTGGCTCAAGGGGGCACCTATTTTCCAGAAGGAGATCAGGGGATGATGGTATTTATAGTGGGATCGATCATGGCCGCTCTGCTGACACAGGCACAGGGTGAGTCAGTGAGTGTGTGCAGAGGCAGCTGCGCTGTAATTATTCAGCAAATGTAATTAGCTACAGATGTCCCGAATAATATGCAAAAGATATTTATCCCTGACTGCTGCAGCCCCATTAAAATGCATTATTACGGCCATTTGTCAGGAAAACGACAACATTTATTAATGCATTAAAGTTAATTCCTAGTAAATTAGTAATTGGCTAAACAATGCCACGCACATTGAGAGGGTGGGCTTTGGAGGAGGGCTGCGGCACCGAAAGCGAGGGGAGCCATATCTTGGGTGGAAAGGCCTTTCCTCCTCAATGTGATCCGAATGCCCTTATTGAGCAGGAAGGAGCCGGCAATGGCACTGGCTTCACCTGGCCTCACCTGGTTTCAGGAGCTAAGTCAGAACAGGACAGGTGAGCCTTCAGATGAGAGTAATAAGACAAGGAATCTCTGGGGAAGGAATGGAATGGTAGTCTGGTATGGAACTGTAGATAACTATGTAACAAAATTTGAAATAGTTTGTCCCTGGTTTGAAAGTGTTATTCCTGTTTAATTGTGTGGTCCTCACTTTGAAAATTGTTGTTCTGCTCCAGAAACTGGGCTGAGGAGCAGCTAGTTAGTAGCCAGCAGCATTAAATCACTACTGACTGAGAGATCATGAGTTTGAAGCTAGCCCGGGTCGGAGTGAGCTCCCGACCATTAATAGTCTAGCTTGCTGTTGACCTATGCAGCCTGAAAGCCAGGAAATGTAGGTAACGTTTTATGTGGGGAGGCTAATTTAACTAATTTATGACACCATAAAACCTTCCAGCAGCGTAAGAATGAGAAAGTACTCCATCAAGGACTCAATGTCACAAGTGGGCGATGAAGCGACAGCTCCCCCTGTGACCGGGGGATACACTCATGAAGCTGGAAAACTGGAATGTTAAGTTGCCTCGGTATCTGTCTATATATGCTGTATGTCTATGGCACTGAATGTTTGCCATGTATATGTGCAATGTAATCTGCCCTGAGTCCTCTGTGGGGTGAGATGGATGGAATATACATACTGGAAATAAATAAACAAACTTTGTTTTTGTGGCTGCCACAAACTATGTTGAATTGTTGCCAAAGGCATTCATAGCCAGAATCACTGGGTTCCTGTGAGTTTTTTTGGGCTGTGTGGCCATGTTCCAGCAGCATTCTCTTCTGGCATTTTGCCTGCATCTGTGGTTAATTTCATCTTCAGAGGTTCTGTTGGCAGTGAGGCAAGTGGAGTGTATATATATATCTGTGGAATAATGTCCAAGGTGGGAAAAAGAACCCTTGTCTGTTTAAAGTAAGAGTGAATGTTCCAGTTAGCAAGCTTGAATAGTACTGAGTAGCCATGAAGCTGCAAAGTCAATCAGTGAGGGTATCCGCATAGAGATAGCTTGGCCTCTGTTGCCTGGAGGCAACCTCTGCTTGTTAGGTGTTAATTGGCATTTGGTTGTTTGTTATCTGGAGTTCCCCTGTTTCTGAGTGGTTTTCATTATTCACTGTCTTGATTCTGGTGTTTTTAAAATACTGGTAATCAGATTTTGTTCATTTTAGTTACGAGATGCATGGGATTATTATTGGTGGCCCAATAATTTGTATTGTATATGTGTTGTATGTTTCAAATTGAATACTGTTTTTAAATGTTGTAAACCGCAATGAGTCGCCGACTTAGGCTGAGATATTAGCGGTATACAAGCGTATAAAATAAAATAAATAAATAAATAAATAAATAAATAAATTTTCCATTTTCAAACTTGCTAATTGCAACATTCACATTTGTTTTAATAATAATTATAATACACTATTTATATTCCACCCTTCTCCCCTAGGGGGATTCAGAGTGGATTACAGCATTTTACATAGGCAAACATTGAATGCCTTTACAATCATATACAATGAGAGACACAAACAAAGGCAGAGGCTTCTCCTTTCATTTCTGGCTTCTGGTGCTCAGCTCTGGGGAGGTGCTTTCCTCCATTTTCAAGCTGAGAAGCCTGCTTTGTCACCTCCTGGTTGTGTGGATGGCAAAATTGCTTGGAGCATCTTTGCCTTTTCCCTCTGAAGAGGTACCTATTTATCAACTCACATTGCATGTTTTCGAACTACTAGGTTGGCAGGAGCTGGAGCTGACAGATGGGAACTCACCCCATCTTGCAGATTTGAACTGCCAACCTTCAGGTCAGCATTTCAGCAGCACAAAGGTTTAATTCATTGCACCATCACGGCTCCTTTAAAGAGACAAGGTTTCTTTCTCAAACCCTGGTAATTATTCCACAGATATATATACACTCCACTTGCTGAGTTTGCTATCAACAAAACCTTTGAAGATGCCATTAGCCACAGATGCAGATGAAATGTCAGGAGTGAATGCTACTGGAACATCATCATACAGCCCAAAAAACTCACAGCAACCCTATGTTGAATTGGTTAAGACTCGATGAGATATTCATTGAAAATATAGCAAAATGTGCTGCAGGATGTCCCTTCTGCAAAAACAATGTTTCTGCAG